CATAAAAGCAACAATATATGCAAAAAATTTAGCTAATTAATAAAAGCTGGTTTCTTCGTAAGTGTGCGGAGTCCTTTGAGTTATTATTATTAAAATAAACTTAGTATTCAAATATTTTTTATACAAGTTATAATTTTAATTATATAATTTTCCATGAAATTAACTAATACTTTTTAATTAACATAAATTAAGTTTGTCTCTTAGATCCAATGTTAGTAACTGTGTTACAGATTTTGATATCACCTTCGGAGGTGATTCAGAAATATACTTTTAACGCATTAATTAAATTATTTCTATATAATTTTTGATATACTGTACCCATATAAATCAGATTGCGTAGTTTTGGCGCTCGAAGCATCTTGTCGGTATTTACGGATTGAGTTTTCGAAGGCAAGATACATCTCTCAATGGGCGAGTTCAAGACGACAAAGCGGCTCACTTGGAAGAAATCCTGTTTACGTTTATGCTTATGAAGAAAAAAGTGGCTCGCGGTGTGTGTGATGCGTAGAAAAAAATAAAAATATACACATTCTATCTCCATTATTGCCCTCACGCGAGGCACGCGAAATGCGAGTGCTTCTTTAACCGTTACAACTATGATTGCGACCTTTGGCGACTTTCAGAGCGATTTATCGACTTATCGAGAAATTGTCCTTTCTCTTCCAGCAATACTACCAATCTTTTTCGAAATTAGAGAGATGGCAACGTGACTGCAGCGCGACCTTCATATTTTTTGGCGGGATACACGCGAGCGAGGGCGTCTCTGTTTCAATCGGAATTCAACCGGGAATCATAGCAGATTAAAATTGTGACAAGTTGAACTTTTCGCTGCAAAAGGATAGATGCGAGCACATACCTGACATATCGATCACCGGAATTGTGTCGCACACGAACGGTACGTAAATATTACTTTCGTATATCCCGAAAGGTGTCGAAATCTGTATTTCATTGAATTCCTATCAGTTCTGATCTCCAATTTTACAAATGTGTTTGCTCTCTCGTTATTTTTCTTGCATAAATGTGAATATGACAGCAACGACGACGGGCAGAAAATCAACGCAGCAGCCAGTAAGTGGATTGTCGCAGCTCCTCCTTGGAATCCTGGTACGGTAGATCATTCAGAGTGACCTCCGGCTCGCGCAGTTTGCGCGCCAGACGAGCGGATAAAACGCAGTGACAACGCGGCTGGCTCTTACGTATGCACGAGCATAAGCATAACGCGGAGAGAACACGGGTAGATAATATCGTAGATGCACTTCGGAACCGGCGGGGCGTCGACGCGATCCTTTGTCCTCGTTGCTGGCCGCTCGTTCCTCTCCCGTCGCGATCATCTCGCTCTCTCCTTTCCCTCGAGGCTCTCGACCCCGACAATATGCATTTCGCGAGAATATCTGTCCTCTACCCTGTGTCCAATCTCGTGCATCAATCCCACCGACTTTGTAAAATTCTGTGGAATGATGCACGTGTGCGAGCTACCGCGCTGCCGACAAGGCCAAGGTTTAAGTACACGTAGTTCGCGATGAAAGGTTACGTACGTGCGTAGAGATATCGTGCCGCCTTTTTGCAATTTTATTAAACCTACGATACCTTATTATATGATAATAAGACGCGCCTTTATAGTGTTTTTCATTGGCAGAACTAGTGCGCACTCAAAGCCATTGTACACAAATCAATATAACTCTGAGTCTGTGGATATAGTCACTCATTGTCAGTGGCATACTTGGCACTGATATCAGTGATTA